GTTTTTGTAGTTTAAAAATAGTAAAATACTTTCTGAGAAGTCCAATTGATGACATCATAAAAATGAAAATCGATGCATGCAGCTTCAGATTTGTGTCTTTTCAGTAATTTGTTAGCCTGTTGAGATCAGAACATTGAGGTTCGAAAAATTGATGATCCAGCACGAAGCAAGACCCAAAGAAGAAGCACAAGGTGAGAAAATGTGTCGGTTGCCAGTTCTCCGTCAATTGTTTGCATAAATTGTCACAATTGTTAACAGTTCCTGTCAGGTTTTGGTGTTTGTTTCAGTATCCTAGGCTAATTCAAATGTACGCAGTGTTCTAGCTAAATATTTAACCCCAGTAATATAAGCAACCCTCACTGTTATCTTACTACTTTGAGCCTATGGTAATTTTTCATCAGTTTTACATGTGATAAAAACTGTAAAGTGTTTCAGAGTTGTTCTACAACATTACTTTATAATGCCACAAGCTAGTTTAACTTAGTTAATGCCATGAAACAACAGGTTCTTATCCCATCCAACACTGGTGTTTGTTGCAGCAACTTCTCTAAGTCTAAGTGTGAAACTTAGTGGGGGCTGTTTTGTGAGAATTATTCTGAAATAACTCGGTGCTATTGAACAAGACTGTGTCGACACTTGAATAATTTATTAATTTATTACTTAGAAACTAGTCTTTTTATAAAAGTGGTATAAGTTGTCTGCTTATGAATGACTTGTTTGTCATTGTCGTCAGTGTGGTGTAAGGTATATTTACAATATATATTGATGTTTCAATGTTGAATGCTGATGTTGAAGAAGACACAGTATCTTGATGTTGATTGCCACCTGCTAATAAACTGAACAAAGACCTTTGAAGAAACAATCATGTTTAAACTTTGAATCCAATAATAACCCTCATTATAGACATGAGTGTGTGTGTGTGTGTGTGTGTGTGTGTTGAGGAGCTTACAAGAGAGGTCTGTATACAGAGTTGATAAAGCCACACTGATAAGTCTGTGTTTACACTGTGACTAAAAGCTGGGAGTACGGCCTGTCAGCCCAGGAAACACAGACTACACACAGAATATAGGCTTGAATAAATATGATAACATACTGTATTTACTCTCGAAACATCTACTATGTATGTCCAGGTGTGTCAATGTAGTATGTGTGTGATTGGGTCGCGGTCAGATATTATACTGACCGCTCTGGTGAAATGAACTTTACCAAATTATCAATCAGATTTGATAAAGTGGGACAACTGAAAATGTTTGAAAAAACTCAATGCATATTTTGTTGCTGAAATACATCACAAACATAATTTGATAACTATTAGTAACATTCTCTTGTGTATGGCAGATTTATATCCTTAACATTAATATTTTCAGAATGGTAAATTGGTAAATGGTCTGTATTCATATAGAGCAGCTTTTCTGGTCTTGATGACCACTCAAAGCACTTTACAGTACAGTTTTGCCATTCACCCATTCACACACACATTCATACAGTGAATGACTGACCAAGAGAAAAAAGATTATTCAGTTTTGATGGACATACCCAGGTAACATGTAGTGTGATGTTGTGAGAGGGAGTGTCATCCAGGGGAGATACATCCCCTCCCAGTGGTTGCAGCAGAGACTACAACCCGTCATGGCATCCGGTTAAGTGACTACATTTCCCATAGTCAGCAGAGCAAGAGTTTTATGTTACAGTACAGACAGAGAATAAGAAGTTCAACTGAAAATACCTGTGTTTGTTTGTTTAGCCACTGTCTGATGGAATTAAGTTAACCTTTTGCTGAAAAATCTAAGTACATTATTTGAGTTAGAAACCGCCGCTTGTCATCTTCCTTTGTGCACCCATGACTCACAAGCCTCTCTGGACCTCTCAAGAGATCACAGCAGCCATGTCCAGACAAGCCCATTACAGGTCAAGGGAGTGAAATAGAAATAAATATATAAATATATACACAAGGACTGTGCAGGTACAGAAGACTGCTCGAAACTGTTGTGGGAGTGCGATTTTGGGTTCTGAGCAAGTTGAAGCATTTGAAGTGGAATGCATCATAAGAATATAGAATATGATATAAGAAATGCATGAAGAATGTAAAGAAATATGGATCAATGAAGCTTGTTCAGAGATAATGTCTCTGTCTGCAGTTGTTTATTAGCTTTTGTGCACATGTCCAAAAATTATTTACACAGGAATATAAATCTGGCCAATTCAACTTTGTGAATGTGTAGTAAAGTTTTGCAGTTGTAGAAATACAGCTGTCTAATCTTAAAGCAGCTAAAAGAGGATTTAGGCCTGAACAAAACTTACCATACATTACCAGATATCCATTATTTTATTGTATTTTATTTTTGTTCATTGCTAAATCTTTGATAATTAGAGATTTTCTTGTTGAACTATGTGCTCTTAAGTCTTCTAATGCACATCATTCAGACTTGCTTGAAAGGGCTGTTTTGTTTGTGTTTGTCTACAATATGCAAATTTAGTTGCAATTCCTTCCTCTGTGTTCTCAAATGACTGAAAGTTATTAATTAAACATCAAGTTATGGAACTCAGAACTCAGAAAAGTTGCTCTATGGTTGAAGCTGAACATTCAACTATAAGTCACAGTTTATAAATGGAAAAAATGTGTGGAAAAAATCAAATCAATTCGAAATTGTCTCACATGTATTTTACATATATCACCATTTCACTGTGATGCACAGACCATTATTATGAGCTAAGGCTCTAAGAAAAATCATCAAACTTTACAAAATATAAAAAAGTTGAAAAACTGAGTACATCCGAAGATGTCCTGATCAAGCTGAGCGTTTGAAAAGTTTAAATGGGTTTTCTGTGTTGGAGTGAGTGCAATTAGTTATGATAACAAATCATTTCTATAATAAACTTGGAATAGCGTCATACAAAAAACTAAGTTACTGTAGTTTTTAGTTAGTAAATAATCACTGTTAAATAAAACACAGAGAACCCTTCTATCTATTTTATTGTCCCAATAATGAGGAAATACAGTATGTGCCCTGACGTGACAATGTCCCACACTGGTTTAACTGTAAATACACAGCACAGCAGATTTGACAAACCATCTTCAGACTTTGCAAACAAAACAAACGATGGAGTGGCAACATTTCTCTGAAGAAAGACACTTGAATACATAATGTACAAACTTGAAAACAGTGAGGAATAAGAAAAGAATAACTTTCAACAACACAAGAAAACAACAATCTCAGATTTCACAAACATACGGTATCACAAGCAGCTATGTAGAAATAAAGGCTTTTTATTTTTTCTCCCTGTTGGAGGAGGGTGGAGAAAAGAAAAGAAAACCTCTGCACACATTCACACTTTGCAGACTGCAATGGCTTTAGAAAGTTGACTACATGCCTCTTGTGCTACACTTTTGTGTCTTACAAAAATACTCAACGCAAACACTTTCATTGTACAGAGAGTAGCAGAGAGTTATACAGGCATAGAAAAGTATTTGAATATTTATTTATTTATTTTCTGTCATCTACATTTTCTGTCATAGTTTGGTAAAACCCCTCCCTATGACGCATACAGATAAAAACAAGCACTAACGAGTATCTTTAAATACTTTCTGACTTCAGATCCTTTTGGTGCTTTATATTTTTTCACATTTTCTACTCCCTTTCTCTCTCATTCTCTGCTCAGTCTCCCCACATCCAGTCCTGAACATGACAACAGAGGAGATTACTTCAGGAAACCCTCTGGCTGCTGCTTCTGCTGCTGCCATCTGCCTCCTCTGTTCCTCCTCCTGCACCCTTCCCCTCCATCTCACTGCCTCCTCCAGCGATTCTTGGGTTTCTCTTCACACCCGGGACCTTCGCAGGTGCCAGGGAGAGGTGGCGGTGTTGCCGGTGCAGCCTTCGTTGGGGCGGAAGTGCCTGTGGTCTTGCTGACGCTGCTGAGAAGAGCTGGCAACTGGTGCGAGATGGCTCTCTCGATCTTCTCCAGCAGACAGCCTCTGGACCAGCTGCAGTGGTGGGAGAGCTGCTTGAAGCCGGAGATGGGGTTAACACCAAAGAAGTCCTGGTAGGCCTCCTTGTCTGGAAGGTCAAACTTGCTGACATTGGTCTTGGCCAGAATGGACTTGAAGATGTAATACTTGTCAGGGTCATTGACAATGTCTTGGAAGACC